GCAAATACTGTGGAAGAAGAACATTAGAATATTGACAATTTGATAGGCTTGTTAAAGATACACTATGATGAGCAAAGACAATGAGTTCAAGACAGTTTGGGCTTGAGACAAAGTCAATGCCTTCAAAATTGTTGCCTTTTGAGTTCTTACACTAACTTAATAACAGCATTGCTTCTTCAACGAGTTCACTGATCGTTGAGCCATGGCGTGCCAAACCAACGGTGCCAGAGAATATATCAAAGTTCTCAAGCTCAGCCGCGGTCTCAAAGACTGTCTCTAGTTCATTTTTCATCCCAAGGTTTTGGAAAGTCTTGACCGTCTTAGGATTAGTTTTCATCATCTCAATGGTTAGCTCTATTGCAAACCTCCTGATTCTTGGAACCTTTGGCACTGGCTGTTCATATCTCTTGAGAAGCTTGACCAATGTATCGGCTAGTTCATCTTCGCTTACTCCTGCTTTCTCAAACATTGCTCTCGATTCTTCACGACTCATTAACTTGAGAATATGCGGTGCTAATCCCACCATAACTTCTTGAGGTTTGCTCTCTTCAGATTGTATTGCCTTAAGAACCTGAATTTACAAGATAACATTACTGATGATGATTCATGAATCTAATCAGATCAAGAACATGAGGACTTACTGTTGTTCCTGCAGATTTCACTTCTTTCAGCTGTTCATTGAACTGATCAGAAGTAGTATATGCACAGAGATTCCGCAAGATTCTCGCTGCATTCAACCGTATCAACGGGTTGTTCAACGACTCAATAAGTCCCGGAAGAACACCTGATCTCAAGATCCGTTGGCAATTGCTTTTACTTCCTTGAGCTAACATAGCTATAGACTCACCAGCAGAGACTCTCACACCACTAGTTTGATTCTCTACAATCTCATCGTTCAAGAAAATGCAGAGAAGTCCCTTCAAAACCCCGCCCGTGCCTCCAATCTTCTCGGTTGCACCTTCGTCAAGCGCGAGGAAAGTCAAGATCTCTGCACCAATCTTCTGCAAATCAGGCCGCTTCTTTCCATGGCGTAATGTTTCCCTAATGTTGCTCACTGTAAAGACAATCCCAGAGATATTACTCCTCAAGCTTCTCCCCGTTGCACCGGTCGTGTTCACCAACCTCCTTAACAGCTTCAAAGACCGTTTCACAGCCAAGATCTTGTTAGATTCCGCAACCGCGACATTTGGATTCTTCAACAACCTCTTGTCAGCATAAGTGAAGTCAATGATCTTTGAAAGTAACCCTTTTGTTTTACCAATCTTTCCACAGTTATCATGATCTCGAGCTAGTCTTTTCAAGATCAACAATCCAAGATTGTTGAACGTCCATAAATCGGATTGATTGGTACTCTTTTCGCCTATTTCATCCGTGGCTTGACCTGAATCTCTTGTGCTCTCTAAAAGAGAAGATATCGACTCCATCGCTCCCGGTATCGCTGCAACTCTCAGAGAATTCTGCTTCTTACTAGCTAATCTTGAGAGAATCTCTGCAGATGACATTCTCACAACTTCTTGATTCTTGTTTCTCCAATTCAACATTTCTACTAACCTCTCTATGATCTCAAGATTAGTCCCAATCTTCTGTAGAGTATCGACCGAATAGTCTTCTTTTGTTGAGAACCTAAAGAGTATCTCTGCTCCAATGTGCTGCTCATCAAGTGAATTCGACACCAAAAGCTCCATGGCGAAAACGACCATATCCATCTTCAATCCGTCGAAGATGCTCCCGTTGAGGCATCTCGAGTAAGCATCGTAGAAGAATCTTCTCACGGGGATCGTTCCAAATCCCTCGAGACCGCATTCTTGATTCACTTTATCAAGAATCTTGAAAACACTGATCATCCATTCCCAGTAAGCTTTCTCAACAAGAAAGAGAAGCGCCTCGGCGAGCGTTAGAGAGTAAAACAGAGTCAAAGCAGAGCCAAGATTGGTGCTTATCGGTTTCGAGTCGTTGTTGCCTCCATAGTCTTGCTTAATGAGCTTGATCATGGAGATAACAATGCTAGCGAAAGCAGACGCAATCTGAAGCCAATAGAAGACTCTACTTACATTTCTTGAAACAAAAACCCATCCTGTGTAAGGCAACATAGGAACATCTGAGCTTGTCCATGTCCTTGTCCGCGATATCTGCCTCGAACTCCGCTCTTCTCTTCTCGTTTCATGAACCGATAACGATCTATTTTCGTTCCCGGAAACCCTAGCCGCCTTGTTGAATAGTTGGATAACGTGTTTAACAAGAGACCGGAAGCTATTGATTCCAGAGATTGTGTATTTAGACTGATGCTGCAATTCAAGCTCATGGCTTCTACTGAAAATCCGAGCTCCTTCGACAACAAGAATCAAAGTAACAAACCAAAAATCTGTTGTCTCTAAAGTCGCAGCGAATCCACCAAGAAGAACAACCGTAGCCCACACGAAACCTAAAGATCCTAACCTTGAAGCAATCTGTGGTTACAAGAACACATCAAAAATGAATCCAAAATTGACAAAAGATACAAAAAAAAATGGAAGAATCTTGGAGTTTAAAAAACCTTTTCAAGAACAGCGAGTCGTAAGGCGAAAAGGGTAAGTTTTTTCTCCGGTGCAGGGACTGACAATGGTGTTGGTCTCCGAGGTTCTGGTGTTGAACTCTCGACTGGTTGGAAAATGGTTCTGCCCGAAGAATCGACTTGTACGACCACTTGTGTAATTTGATCAACCATTTTGAGATATCAACACACAGAGAAACAGAAATGATTTGGTTTTTACATAATCTCTAGTTTTGTTTTTTTTGCTAAACCAATAAACTTAGTTTTGTTGATCAATAAGTTTAACATTTCAAAAAATAAATTCCTGGTTTTGGTTTTTACGCAGATAATTTGAAATTATAAAATTAGTCTAGTGTTATTGTTATGTTATGTTTAACCATGCACGTCTTTGAGTTTGACTTTTAGAAGACAAGGCGTCTAAACATTAACCTTGGACGCACCATTTTATTCTGATGTCATTAGTTTTTTTTTTATGTCATTAGGCTACCAAATACATTATTTCATAATCTCGTTAATTATTATTTTTTGGCAATTTTTTTAGTCTATATAA